TAGACAAAAAAACGGAAGTGGCATATAGAAATCAGAAGTGAGATACAGAAACAGCTGAATTGGTTACAGGTTGTCATTTACCTTATTTGAACACAGTTTGAACACTCAGAAGTGTATGACTGGTTGAAGTATGGCTTATGGCATTGGCCAGGACTCAGCTATTGTTACAGGCACATGCTCCTAAGTTCGGGTTTCAGTCTTGTCTACCCACTAAGTTGGGTTGCAGTTCACCCACAAGGACTCAAATGTAGAAGTACAGAGTCCTTCTCAGGCCATATTTAGTTTGCTTTAACACTGTTGACCCTGGGCCAGGGAGCTATTCTGTAGCAGGTGAGTTTTTCCTTACTTCTCCAAGTTAAAGCACACTCTGACGTACTTCACCACCAATTTTGTATTGTTATACAATACAAGTAATATAAAATTTTACCATTTTAGCTATTTGTAAGTGTACACTTCTGTGGCACTAAGCACATTGTCATTGATGTGCAGCTGTCATCGTATCCACCTCCAGAATTTTTTCATCTATCCCAACTTTATATCCATTAAACACAAATTCCCCATTTTTCCCTCCCCTCACTCTGGCAACCACCATTCTACTTTCTATCTTCATGAATTTCCCTCATGTAAGTAGAATCACACAACATTTGTTCTTTTGTGACTGGCTGATTTCACTTAGCATAATGGCCTCAAGGTTGTAGATAAAAGTCATCAAACTCTGTAAAATATTTGAAGACATTTATTCTGAGCCAAATATGAGTGACCAATGGCCTATGGCACAGCTCCAGGAGATTATAAGAACATGTGCCCAAGGTGGTCAGGCCACAGCTTGGTTTTATACATTTTAGGGAGATATAAGACATCAATCCATACACATAAGATGGGCATTGCTTCCATCTGGAAAGGGGGAACAACTGGAAGTAGGGGCTTCCAGGTCGTGGGCGAATTCAAGCTTTTCTGATTGGCAATTGGTTGAAAGAGTTATTATCTAAAGACATAGAATCAATAAAAAGGAATATCTGGGTTGTGGAGACCAAGGTTCTATTATGCAGATGAAGCCTCTGGGTAGCAGGCTTCAGAGCTCTCATCAGACCTAAAAAGGTACCTGAGTCTTAGTAAATTCTCTCCTGGATCAGGGAAAAGACCTGGAAAAGGATGGAGATTCTCTACAGAATGTAGATTTTCCCCATAAGAGACAGCTTTGCAGGGCCATTTCAAAATATGTAAAAGAAATAGGCCAGGTGTGGTAGCTCACACCTGTAATCCCAGCACTTAGGTAGGCTGAGGTGGGAGGATCATGAGGTCAAGAGATTGAGACCATCCTGGCCAACATGGTGAAACCCTGTCTCTACTAAAAATACGAAAATTAGCCGCTGAGATCATGCCACAGTATTCCAGCCTGGTGACAGAGCAAGACTCCATCTAAAAAAGAAAGAAAAGAAAGAAAGAAAGAAAGAAAGAAAGAAAGAAAGAAAGAAAGAAAGAAAGAAAGAAAGAAAGAAAGAAAGAAAGAAAGAAAGAAAGGAGGGAGGGAGGGAGGGAGGGAGGGAGGGAGGGAGGGAGGGAAGGAAGGAAGGAAGGAAGGAAGGAAGGAAGGAAGGAAGGAAAGAAAGAAAGAGGAAGAAAGAAAGAAAGAAAGTAAGAAAGAAAGAAAGAAAGAAAGAAAGAAAGAAAGAAAGAAAGAAAGAAAGAAAGAAAGAAAGAAATGGGGGTAAAATAGTTTGATTCCTTTCAGGGCCTGCTATCTGTCATGCGATGCTATACTAGAGTCAGGCTGGAATTTGGTGTCTTATTGCTATAAAAAGTCTGTTTTGTCAGTCTTCAGATCTTTGTTTTAATGTTAATGCTGGTCAGTTGTGCCCTAATTCTAAAGGAAGGAGGGTATAATGAGGTATGTCCCAACCCCTACTTCCCATCATGGCCTAAATTAGTTTTTCAGGTTAACTTTGGAATGCCTTTGGCCTAGGTGAGGGTCCATCAGTCAGTTGAGGGACTTAGAATTTTATTTTCAGTTTTTAAGGTTCATCCATGTTGTAGTGTATATTGAAATTTCCTTCCTTTTTAAGGCTGAATAATATTCCATCATATGTATATACTCTATGTTGTTTATGCATTCATCCACTGAGGGACACAGGTTTCTTCCACCTTTTGGCTATTATGAATAATGCTGCTATTATTGAATGTAAGTGTACAAATATCTGTTCAAATCCCTGTTTTGAGTTCTTTTGGATATGTACCCAAAAGTGGAATTGCTAGACCATATAGTAATCCAGTGTTTAATTTTTTGAGGAATCTCCATGCCATTTTCCACAGTGGCTGCACCATTTTACATTCCCACCAGCAATGCACAAGTGTTCCAATTTCTCCCCATCTTTGCTAACACTTCTTTTCTTTTTTTTTTTTTTTAATTATAGCCATCCTAATGGATGTGAAGTAGTGACTCATTGTGGTTTTGATTTGCATTTTTCTAATGATTAGTGATACTGAGCATCTTTTCATGTGTTTATTGGCCATTTGTGTGTCTTCTTGGAGAAACAGCTATTTTCTCCATTTTTTAATCAGGATGTTTTGCCCATTTTTTAATCAGGATGTTTATTTTTTGTTGTTGAATTGTAGGCATTCTTTAAATATTCTGAATCTCAATCCAGATATATGATTTACAAATATTTTCTCTCATTCCATGGGTTGCCTTTCACTCTGTTGATAGTGCATGTTGATGCAAAAAATTTTTAATCTCAGCCAGGCATGGTGGCTTATGCCTGTAATCCCAGCACTTTGGGAGCTGAGGCAGGCAGATCACTTGAAGTCAGGAATTCAAGACCAGCCTGACCAACATGGCGAAACACCATTTCTACTAAAAATACAAAAATTAGCTGGGTGTGGTGGCATACGCCTGTGGTTCCAGCCACTTGGGAGGCTGAGGCACGAGAATCGCTTGAACCTAGGAGGCAGAGATTGCAGTGAGCCGAGGTCATGCCACTGCACTCCAGCCTGGGTAACAGAGCAAGATTCTGTCTCAAAAAAAAAAAAAAAAAAAAAAAAACACAGTTTTTAATCTTGGTGAAACACAATTTATCTATTTTTTTCAATGCCTATGCTTTAGTGTCATATCCAAGAAATTATTGCCAAATCCTGCCACCAATTTTTAAATACCCAGCCTGAATCCATTTAAACTGTTTAGTGAATGACTTAAAGAATTTTAAAGTGAGTTATTTCTATTCAACAATGTACTTTTATAATTATGGGAGATGTTAATAAATATCCATTCATGGCCAAAGTTTTTTCTCAGTCTTCATTTTCCTGATCAATGCCAAGTACATTAGATGTAAATGGGAAGCATGGAAATAGTACATTGTATTGTACCTCAATTGTTTCCCCATGAGGGATCGTGATCAAAATTATTACCAATTGCCTCTCTTAGGAAAAGAAAATTCTTAACTGATTAAAGACCATGGATATTATATATCAACTATATAATGAGTTTTCAACTTTTTACTTCATTTAAAAAATACTAAATTTCATTTCTAAATACTACATTTCATGCTATACTTGAGTCAGGCTGGAATTTGGTGTCTTATTGCTACAAAAATCACATATAATAAAGCTCTAAAACTTCAAAGACATTTTGCATTCTGAAAAGGGTTCTTTGTGGTTGCAATGCTCATTTGAAATTCAAATAACTTCTTGGAATTTGAAGCTAGCTAGAAGTTACGTACTGTAGAATAAGAGGGAGATGATCCTTTGTATCATTGCTAATTTATACTAATAGAAGATATTATACTTTTGGACCTAGATGGGAGCAACAAATGCATCTTTTGAAATCATTAAATAATACATGAGCTATCCATGATAAACATCTTGGGCAATGTGTAAGAACTTACCTTTTAACTTCTATAGTTCTTGTGTTAGATGATTATATACTTTTTCAAGCAAGTGTTTGTTAAATCTTCAATTTTATATTGCAGTAGATGATGCAGAAGACCCAATAGAAAGAAGCATAAGACTTGGTTCTTTTCCCTCAGAGAATTTGAGCAAACATGATAATATTAAAGAATAAATAAGGGAGGCTTACCATTTAGAATCTGAGAAAGTCAAGGTGGGCCGAGGTGGTCTGAGGAGGTCTCAAGGAGATGGACCTCTGCAGGCCAAGAGGGCGAGGTTTGGTTGGAGTGAGTGAGAGGCGCACCTGCACGACCTAGGAGAGCAGTGACATGAGAAAGTGTCACATCTGGCTGGAGGATAGCACGTGCCACATACCTGAGATAGAGGAAGCACATTAAAAGTAAGTTATGGACAGAGGGCTGGGTGAGGACTAATTGTGGTGAGCTGGTATAATAGTTTATTGTTTGATATAGTAGACTGTAGAGAATCATTGTAGGTTTTTGACCAGGGGAGTAGTAGGAAAATTTAGCCCATCTCCAGTGGAGATCATAGAGCCTTAGAAGTAAAGGGATTTCTGGAAACATCTTATCTAATATCCCATTTTTACTTAGGCCAGAGAAGTGAAATAACTTGCTCAAAAGGTTACCCAGTTAGAAATGAGCAAATCTGTGTCTCAGATTTATCCTTTACCTTGTAGTCCGATTATCTTTCTTTCATATCACAGTCCTCCAAAACCTATTAGAGAAAAGAAAATAAAAAGAAAGGATACATGAGAAGCAGCATCTTGATAGGAAAAAGCCAAATAAATATTTTATTTATATTAGTAAATGAGGCAGGCAAATATCTAGAGAATTCATAGAGGACCAAGTGATTTCTTAAAAATAGTGTCTGAAAAAAGTGAAAAACTAATTCTAATTAAATCATATTAATAGGTATTTATGGTATTAATTGGTTATTCTACATTACTATAAGAATGTGTAATTTTTATCAAACCTACCCTAGCAAATGGGTGCTAAGCTAAAGCTGAATTACTGAACAAATGAATGAATACCTAAATTTGTCTTTTTTCTTCCAGTAAATATCTTACAAGTATTATTTAAGGAAAACATTTTCTTTTACAGATTCACCTTTTTGGAGTTTTGCTGGCCATTTTAGGAAACTTGGTGATCAGCATTTCTCTAAATATTCAGGTAAGAAAAAAGCTTATTTTTCTAGCACTGTAGATTAATCCAGGGACACATTATGACTCTCATGGGCCTTGGAAACTTTTGTCTTTGTGGCTCTTTTCTCCATAAAAATTATAAAAATATATATATTTTATGACCTCATTGGTGTAAAGAGAAATATAATGCAAGCTGGAGTGCATTCATTTTTCTTCTTCTTCTTCTGATTTTAAAAGAAATTAATTTTGGGGGGTGTGGAGTGGGCTCTGAGAGTATTGTAGACCCTAGGTAAGGGGCCTGTGGTGTCACTGGTTTGATTTGCAGTACTTTGATTTCTTTCATAGCCTTCACCTCAGGTGGGATATGGATACTTTTTAGAAGCAGTTCATAAAAGTACAGATTATAGGGTTTTTTCCCCTTTCTTTAAAATGCTCTTAAATATGCCAGTATAGACTAATGGTCTTGAGGAAAGAATGTAGAATACAAAATAGGAACTATAATTGAACATGAATTAGAAACCTGAATAAATTGCTGATTTGCTAAATGCAAATTGAAGGAAATATGAATTTTTAACCAAATCAGGAATTAAATAAACCATTTTAAATCATTTAATGAATCAGTTTGAATTAGAATCAAATTGCTGCAGTCTCTAAAACGATTTGAATCAAAATAAACCTGAACATCAAAATATCTCCCAGAATGTTATATGGTAATTCCCTCTTAACCTCAGGGGATAAATTGCAAGACTCCCAGTGGATGTCTGAAACTAGAGCTAATACTGAACCCTATTCAGTATATACTATGTTTTTCCTATACATACATACCTATGATCACATTTAATTTATAACTTAGGCACAGTAAAAGATTAATAACAATAACTAATAATAAAATAGAACAAGTAAGTAAGATAAGGGTTACCTGAACACAAGCACTGTGCTATTGCAACAGCTGATCTGATAACCGAGAGGCCCACTGAATGACTAAGGGACGGGGAGCATCTGTAGCCTGGATACATTGGACAAAGGGAGGATTCACATACCAGGCGGGACAGCAAGAGATTTCATCCTGCTACTCAGAAGAGAATGCAATTTAAAATGTATGAAATGTTTATTTCTGGAATTTTCCATCTAATATTTTCTGACCATGGGTAACTGAAACCACAGAAAATGAATCCGTGGATCGAGGGGTGACCACTATATTTGTTTATACAAATCTTTGCTAGAAAATGACCTAGTATAATTTTCAATAATTCCCCAAAAATGTATTTGTTCTTTAAAAAATACAAAAATAAATTAGTGTTCTTATAAAAAGAATTAAAGGAATACAAAAGAAAAAAAGTGGCATTCCCTTCATAGCTCAGAATGTTTTCTTATTTATCTTCTGATTTACTTTCAGAAATATTCTCACCTTCAGCTGGCACAACAGGAGCACCCAAGGCCATACTTCAAGAGTGTGCTGTGGTGGAGTGGTGTCCTGCTGATGGCCGTGGGAGAGACGGGGAACTTCGCAGCCTATGGATTTGCTCCCATTACTCTGATCGCTCCATTAGGCTGTGTGTCTGTTACAGGTAAGCTGTTGTGTGTTTTGACAAACAGAAACTTAATGAGCAGAAAAATTGGAGAAAAACACACAACTGAAACAACAAATGCACCAAAAAAGAAAGTCTATTGCCTGGTTTCTTAGCACATTAACATGGAACAATTATTCTGCTAATTTCAGCGATCCATTGTCACGCTGTCACATTAACTATAGAAACTTGCAGTTTGTGACTCTAACACTTATCTGTGAAAGCCTGATGCCTGAGTCTTAATAAATTAACAGTGACAGAAAATGTTATACTATGCTTGTAATCATTAATGAGTTACCTAAAAGCATTTGTAATGCAATGTTTTATTCATATGTTAAACTGATAATACCTGTGGTTAGAGTCTTTGATGTCTGGTCTTGACTTCATAGTTTAGTATCTGTTTGACATTAAGAATTAAATATTGGTTATTCTACATTACTATAAGAATGTGTAATTTTGCAGTAATGTCACAAATATCTACTTTGAAATTTTATGTAATTTACTAAATACATTTAGAAAACAGAAAATGAGATGTTGTGAAAGACTTTAAAAAAAAAAGAGCAAAAATCACTGCTAAAAAGGAGAACAAATTCTCTAAGCCCTGTTAAAATCAATAAAATCTTTTTGGTTTTACTCTTTATCTGTTGCTATGGAAACAGGATGTTTCTAAATTTGCGTGAATTTAGAAACTTCATTGAAATAGAAACAACTTGATAGTCATTATCTGTTAACAACTAGATCAAGCATATCACATGTTTACATATCCCAATTTAAATGTTCCTCCTAAACAACTATATGATATTCTTAAAGAAAACATCATTTAAACTGAAACAATGCAGATTCAAAGATAATTTTATTTTATTTTGTAAGTCATTTATCTCAATCATTTAAAATATTTTATTTAAAATACTTGGATGAGGTATAACAGAATATTTAGCAAAAAAACACTTACTTTGCTTTCTAGAAATAGCCTACTTAAAAGAGCCATCCTGTTACTACTCTGAAGAGGCACACAATTTATGTAAACATTTACTGTTTTTAACATTCCAATAGAATAAGCAAATTGGGTAAACCTCACTTTCTATTTAGTAAACCACATAACATGTACATAGACATTTTAGACATTTTATGTTTTCAAAATCTAAGAAATAACAGATAAAAGATCTAGTTATATGGTGAACTTGGGATCCCTCCACACTCTTGCTGTCTTGAAAATATTGTTTTATTCTCCAATAATGACTGTGTTTGTCATGCTGATCTTTAGTTTTGTTCCTTACTTTATGCTGTTTCCATGAAATAGCCAGAGAAAAATGTGTCCGGGCATATTAGATAGATAACTGGGGAAGGCAGGTGGTGAGTGCACCATATGGTATTGAAATTCTCCATTTATCTCACGTCTCCTGGTCCTGGGAAGTCTTTTGCAGGAGTGGGGTATAAGAAAAAGGGTGCTACCCCAGGTGGTTCAGACAAGGGGAAATATTGTTGTAAAGATCAGAGATTTCACAGAAATGAGATATAACCAGACCTCATGGGGCCTGAAGTGAGAATGGGGCAGTTTTCAGGACTTCAGAGTCAGCAGTCGTACCCTTCCTAGACCTTCAGTGAAGCTGCCTGTGAGTCTGCCTATCTTGGCAAGACTTGATCCAAGCTCTCATTAAAAACTGAAAGCTGAAGCTTTCCAAACTTCCACTCAGAAAGAGTGTCCTATTCTCCCAAGTCCCCTGCGAGCCGGTCCACCCACCTTCAAACTCGGAGCCCACTGCCTTGACAGATGGGCTTTTTCTTCATGCTATAGATTATTTTTCTTTGTGTGCTGTTAGCCCCAATTAATGTTTCAGCTTCAGAACATTTTTAGTTACCTCCCTCTCTGTCCATCTGAAATGATTCAAAGACGTGAACTTACAGCCTCAAACACAACTCATTTCCTACTTTACAATCTTTGCACACAGTAATGTATGTTCATAAATAGTATTCCCACAGCAGTCCTGAGCTGGATTTAAGTCATTGTAAAGCTTTGTGGGTGGGTGAGGGACTGCTGGTGATGGAGGATTTTCCCTAGAACAAACCCCTGCTACCCTGAGATTCTTTATAAAGATCCTAGAAACTCTAGAGAATTTGAAGGAAAAGGGAAAGTATAAACCAGATGTGTCTTATGTCTGTGTCTAAAGATGAAGCAGAAAATCCACACTTTTCTATGTTAAAACTTTTTTTTGGTATCATTTCTTGGGAGCTTTAAGAAATCAAATCTCCCATTGAATTTGAATAAAAAATAAGACCTGTTGCAGTGTTGCATGGGAAATTGCAGATTCTTTTCTGATTTTTCTTCTGTCTTTTGTTGCTTTTCTAAGAGAAGGAGACAGAAAGAGAAACTATTAAAATCCAGAACACTTACAATAGTTTTAGCCCTTAAATCCAAGTGTGTTAAGTCCCTTAAGTCTTTTATCTTCCTCCCTCTCCTTAGACAGTCTGGTTCACACCAACACATTCTGCTCCATTTTTCCTTTCCAGAAGTAGGGAGAGACAGTGCAGGTAAACATGTGGACTAGTTTTACTACACTGATGATTGCTAATATGCCAGACCTGCTATTTTGTCTCACATAATCAAAATTCCTGCTCCTTTTGTATACTTTGAGTATATGTATTTGTATACTTTGAGTATAATATATTCAATTAAATATTAAATATAAATTAAATATATAATATTTAATATATTTATGTTTAATAAATACAATTTTATTATTGTATTTAACATATTTAATATAATTGTATTATTATACTTAATATAATTATATTGATTATATTTAATATATATTTAATATATTGATTATATTTAATAAGATATTAAATTTTATTTTGTTATATATTTAATATATATTAAATATAGTTCTATATTAATAGATACTATACTAATTGAATATGTATTCAATTAAAGTATGCATGTCATATGATTGACATATATATGTCTGACATATATGCTAGTCACATATAGGACTCATTTGTAAGAAGCACCACAGTTAGCAATATGGGCATTTCAACTTGCCCTCTACCCATGTTTTCCTGCCTTGAAACATCTTTCTTCTGTGATTTTTTTCCCCTCTCTCTGTGTGTCCTGCTGTTCCTCACTGACATGCTCAGCTTCAGGCAGCATTTGTCCAACATTAGTTTTACAGGTAGATTCATAGGTGTTCTAAGAAACAAAGAATTCCATAATCAAACAGTATTCTGCAACTTGGGGTTTTAAAGGTGACAGAGGTTTCATTAGTGTAGAGCTTCTTGGGGCCTTAAGACAGGCCCATGCACACTGTGAATCGTGAGAGGCAGATGCAGTACGCCAGGTCTCCAAAACATACTGAGCGCATCTGAGATTCCCTTGATTGTATCTCAAGGCAGTTCTGCAGAAAACCCTTTAGGGAATTCTTAAGGCAAAGCTCACAGGCAGTCACATCGTGCTAGAGACTCAGCCTAAATAACCCGTCCATGCCTCACCGTGAAGACGGCAAAATGGGGAATGATCTCAGTGCACAGGGATGCCCAGGCCTGGGTCCAGCTTTTTGAGAGAGTCAGAACCTTCGTATCCTTGTGTCATCTTTTAATTTTACTTTATTTTTCTCACTGGAAGTCTTTCTCAATGAATAATAGGTCCAAAATCTATTCTGACTAAAACGCGAGTTATACTAGCAGTGTGGTTAATTCTAGATGTGGATTTGTGTAATTCAGAAAGCTTAATTAATGATTTTCAATTTCACCTAGAGGCTAGGTTCAATACTCGCCCTAATAAACCAGGGCAGCAGAAAGGTCAAGAGCTCTAGGACCACACTGCCACGGTTCAAATCTCAGTTCTGCCATTGGCAAGCTCTGTGACCTTGGGCAAATTATTAAAACCAGTTTATGCCTCAGATCCCTAGCCTGTAAAATGGGAGTGAAGTAGTTTCTGTATTAGAGGTCGTTGTGGGGAAGAACTGAGTAAACTCAAACATCTAAGGACAGTGTTGGGTAGATAGTATTTGACATAATGACAACACTGGCTATCATCACTATGATTTGTGATTATTAGTGTGTAGAAAAATAAAATACCTTATTCTTTATAATGGAGCATACTTTCATGCCTCCAAAGATGGCTGATGGTTAAATTCTCTAAAATGGAGAAATCAGTTCAAGAAAGGCTTTTTATTGTTATTATCCACGCAGTGGTTAAATTTATGGAGAGCAGAAAAGTAGGATCCTCACTGCTCATTTTTCATCTAATTAAGTAGCAATTACCTTCAACCCCCTCACATATTCCCTACCAAAACACAGTGGAAAATAGAAGAATTTCCAAATAACCTACCAAGACGAAATACATTTTGAAAACAAATACGGGAGTTTGTCAGAGGAAATGCTTAGAAAGCTAGATGTGTATGCAGTTTTCCATCTTCGTGCTCTGGTTTCAAAGAGCTTGTGTTCTCTTGTTCATTAACTACATAGAGAGGCTGAATGGCAGATTCCTTTCAGATCAACTGTGATTTGAGGATATGTTTTCTGGGAAACTATTATTATACTAGATATCCAGTACAAAGACATAGGTTAGCTATTCTGTGGAGTTTGTAATAAAATTTCAAACTACTGCTAATCCTTCGTGTCTCAGGTAAACCCTTCCTCAGGAGGCCTTCCCTGGCTTTTAGACTAAGGTAATTAAACAGGCTTATTCTCTGCTCCCTTCACACTCTATGCAGGCCTTCCTCTCATCTGTGTGGTGCCGTTTTGTGAATTAGAAAAAGAGAGCCCTTTCTCAAAATACTTTATTTCTGTCTGTCTGCAAATGATTGTAATACATTAATTTTGTTAGAGCAGGACACTCTGGCAACATCTGTCAGAGAATTGTGTTGAGAAATACACAAATCAACAAGGTGTGAGACGCGGATGGTGCCACCTCAGATGTGGAGACTTTCTGCATTCCAAAACTTACACAGCCTGTCCAACCACACACAGCGACCCTGCCCTATGCTTCCCCTTTGGCACCT